TATATATATATATATATATATATATATAGAGAGAGAGAGAGAGAGAGAGAGACCTGAGCGCCACCCACCAACAAAACAAATGCGCTACCTCGCTAAGTAACGTGTCGCCTCCACGTTGAGTCGCGGACCTCCTCTGTATTAATGAGTAGCTTGCCTCTGTGCTAGTTGCAGGTATTTCTGCTCCGAAATTATCTTTGATTTATTACAAGTTGTATGTTATTCTTTGATGCGTTCAAATAAAGTATAATTTATGCTATTGGACCCTAGTTTTGTGTTTCCTTTCTTTTTTGGTTGTTAAGTTGCAGGTGGTATTGGTGTGATGGAGGGGTTGAGTCTTCCTGTCATTAGATTCGTCGGAGGTGGAGATGGTGGAAATGAGATTTGAGGAGCCGAAGTAGAAAGGGAGAGGGAGAAATAAAAACATCTAATGCCGACATATGAAATTAATCTACCTGTAATCCACCTTAGCCTTACAAAAAAAAATGAATTAAAATATAAATAAATTTCAATCCAAGTTAATTTTATTTAATATTTTTAATTTTAAAAATGAATAAAGTTTTGGATTGTGTGAAATTTTATAAATCTGATCTATTTTATACAAACTTTAAAGTTAACTGTAAGATTGAAAAAGAATTACTTTTGATAATTTATTGAAAGTATTATTTTACTCAACTCATTGAAAGATCTTAGAATATTTTTGAGTTAAACGTTATAACTCGCATTAATACTTTTAGTTTACTAGTTAGTGAGAAAAAAAATTTAAATAATACATTTATAAAAAAAAATACAAGTAATGAAAGTAAGAATATATAAGTACTAAATATGTATAAGATGCTATTTGAATAAATTTATCAATTGAATATTTGTAAGAGAAGGAAACAAGAAAATAAAATGAATTAGTTTTTCCCCCAAGTTAAACTTCCATATCTTTTTGATTTGGGAAGTTGGTAATAAGCATATTTAAAACTTCGTCTAAATTTTTTATTAATAGTTATCATAACTATTAATTTATATACTTTTTTCATTTATTTAAATGTTATTTAAAATAGTAGTTAATTGTATTTATTGAACTTTCAATACAAGTTAATTAAATAAATTATTTAAATTAGTCATCTAAACTAGATTTCATACGCATTACCACAATATTAGCCTGTTTATTTAACTTACCAAACTGAGTTTTCACTAAAATTCGTATAAATTTTGGTGTTCTCATCAAGAAAGAGTGTGTTCAAT